AAACACCAAATAGTCAAACTGAATCAAAATTTTTTGATTTAGTTAAACAATTAAATAGTTAATTCAATTTTAACCAAACCAAAATTTTGGTTTAGTTATGGTTATAGTACTAAAATTGTAAAAACTAGAAGCAGCTTCCAACTTGACTAGACTAATAAAAAATTTAGTTTAACAAAAAAAATTTTAATTAAATTGAACTAAATTTTTTTAGTACAAAAGTCAAGATTTAATTTGAAATGAACCATGACATTTAAAAATATCAAGATCAGGATTCCTAAATGAATACAATCCAATGCAACCTTCAGAAACTGAAAGATTTCCTGATCAAATCCTTGCCCCATCAGTGCTTTATTGACAATGCTATAGAAATTAGAGCTTGCAGAGAGATGTGTAACCCAATTGTTGAGTGTCTCATTGCTAGTGTTTGAGTTTGTTGTTATGCTTCTAGGATCCTCTCTAGTGATCAGCTCAAGAAGCAAAATTCCAAAGCAATAGACATCCTCTTTAGCAAAGCTTGATTCCCAAAACTCAGTATTAAGTGAGAAGCTTTTGGTTGAATCAGTGCCATGTGGTTTCATGAGCATTGCCTCTCCAAAGTTTGATAACTTGGGAACAAAATTCTTATCAAGTAAGATGCACTTGGAGCTAATATCAAGATGAAAAACATGAAAATTGCACCCTTGATGGACCCAAACCAGGCCTGTTGCTGCTCCAATTGCAATTTTAACACTCAAGGGCCACTCCATGAATCTTGCCTCACCTTCTTCAAGATGTAGCCAATCATAAAGACTACCTTTTGACATGTATTTGTAGACTAGAAGCTTTTCCTCTGAGTGTATAAAGAATCCGAGGAGGGGCTTGAGCTTCTCATCCCTCAATCTACCTAGTGTCTTCAATTTTGTTATGAAATGCTCATCAAATAGGCGAGTGTCAAGTAATCTCTTCACAGCGAGGAACCATCCACTAGGCAACACTGCCCTGCAGGTTGTCCCCATCTGTCCAATTCCAATGATATTTTCTTCGTTAAAATTGTTTGTCGCTTAACTGATTTCTGTATAACTCCGTCTTGAAACCAGTTTCACCAAGATAGATGTCTCTGATTAAGATCCAATGTACCAATATTAATACCAAATCATGCAGGAAAATTAAAACTGAAAGTGAATTATGTTCCAAGAGTTAAAAAGAGTTTACCTCTTTGCTTTCTTCATGTAGAAGTTCCACAGATGGCGTTTCCTTCATCTGATGAGTCTGCTTTCTTTTGTTTTTCCTTTGCAGTATCAGATTCAATACGATTTGCCATGGGACTTCACTCTTATTTTTCCCTTGTGTCCATGGCACACAGTAGGAGAAAAAATAGTAATAACTGAAACTGCAAAAGTTACATATCCAACAACAAAACCATTTTTGAATAAATCCAAATCACTCCTACAGGTCTTTTAAGGGGCTCTACAAAGTCCTTGGCCTAATTATCACTCGAAAAAGTAGCGCTTGCAAAATTAGGCACCGGACCATATAATAGATTGTTGGCAACATTAAAGACTTTGATCCGAGAAAGCTGGCCAATTTCTGGTGGAATTTGACCTGTTAGTTGATTGTTGTCAAGTTTAAGAATATTCAAAAAACTACAGTTGCCTAAGCTCTTTGGGATTTCACCTGAGAATTTGTTACAAGATAGATCAAGTGTAGTTACGTAAGGGAGCATATGTAATATTTCAGTTGGAATTGGTCCAGTAAGCTCATTGTTTGAAAAGTCCAACCCAGTTAAGCTGAAGCATTCAGTTATTCCCCGTGGAAACTGGCCCTTCAGATCCATGTCGGATAGTTTAATGTTCAACACCTTGTTTTCATCCGGCTACCGGCAATCAACCCCATAAACCAGCAGATGGAGCCCTCTGTGTTGTTGCTGAAGTCCCACTTAGCATTGAGGTAACCGTATGGGTCTTCCAGTCAGTCTTTTATAGATTTCAAGCAGTTGATATCAGAGACATGGCCGATGCATACAGTGCTCAACCATGACCAAGTCAAAGCTTGGAGTAATAGCAAGATAGAAGGTATTTGCAAGAATGAATGTTCGGCAGACAAAGAAATACAGATGGAAATTAGGGTCATGGCCTATGCCAATCCGTTGGAGGGGTGTCAGCACCCGATTAGTTAACTTCTGCCAGGTAGGGAGAAGGAAACGATCAAAGATGACAAGGAAGATGCAAGTGGAGATTAACACTACAACAGCTACTGTCCCAGCTGGGATTTTGAAACTAGAACCAAGGTGACGATCCATGGTTAAAGCTTGGAGAACTATCATGTTGCCCTGGGTTGCTATTGGGGTAATTAAGAATATTGTGCTTGACCAAAGTGGGAAAATTCTAACTAGAGCTTTAAGGCTTTCCACCTCTTGAACCGTACATAGCCTCCATGGCTTTGCAATGGTTCCATTTGATTGAATATCCCCTTCAGTTTTTAGGCTTGCTCGGCTCAAAAACCTGGAGAGAAAATAATAATAATAATAATAAAATAACCAATCCTCCACCTGTGAGTTTTGATTTAATGAAGAAAATGTTGGAGTTGTGGTGTTCAAGCTGCCAAGTAGCAGCAAGTGAAAATGAAGGGCTGCACAAAATGGCAGCAAATGAAGAAGGGAGAGCTGCACCAATAGGACGGTAGCAGCAAAGTGCAGCAATTTAGCTGCAAATGTGGTGAAATTGAAGCTGTCAAATGACAGCAAAAATGTGCAGCAAGCTAAGCTGCGAATGTTGATGAAGATGAGGCTCCAATGAACAGCAAATGAAATGCACATGAAATGCAAATGCACATGAAAGGCTGCAAAGAGGCTGCAAAGAGGCTGCAAAGGACGCAAGCATGCAGCAGCAAAAGTGACTGTTATTTTCAAATTTAAAGTGTACCTTTATTGTTTTTTAATGTAGAATAGATTTGAATTTTGAAATGTTTGTATTCTCCTATATATAGGAGAGTTTATTAATGAGAAAAGGGAGTTGGAGTCATATACTCCTCTCCATTTTATGTGTTCTGCTCTTCATCATCTGCCTCTCGGTTCTCTCCATTTCTTTGTTTTAAAAAAACCAACAGAAAAAACCACAGTTGCCAATACCAAATAAACTCATACCTTGAGCTCTGAGAAGGAGTTGCAGCCAAAATCATGTTTGTTCCATCTATTCCGTGGTAATAATCCTCAGTTTTGGGTGATAGTGGAATATTCCTCTTATAGCAGAAACAAGAGCGCGAGCGAAACCCGTGTATGGGCTTCCTTGAGGCCTGTCATGTCGATTAAATCGAGTACCAAGCAAGGAAATGGCTAAACCTACAAAACTAGCAGCAGAAAATAGGCCAAACCCCAATCCCCAGCTGATACTATTCTCAACATAGACAATGCCTATAGCACTTACTACACATGCTCCATAAAGGATAAAGAAGAACCAGTTGAAAAAAACACCTTGATACTGAGGTGTATCAAATTGATTTGCCCCCATTGTTGCTAGAGTAAATCTCATTGCTCGAAGGCCTATCGAAGCTAAAGCTATAGCTGCATATAGAACTGAGAACTGAACCCTTGATGGAGCTTGGCATAAGGTTGATCCAGTCTCACATGGTGGAGGCCTCAAGGAGCTAATTGATGCTGTTAAGGTCAGGAGAACCACTCCCTGCATAGGAAAAATGTTGACTAATTTCAGAAGAGGAAAAAATTAATCCATTCACGAGTGTCAACTTCCTGCGGTAAGACTCTTACCAGCAAAGAGAAACAGGAAGAAATTGCAACCACAGCAAATGATCCTAAGAAAGAGTCAGCAAGAATTGCTGAAATGATGGGAAGCAGATTGATGCCACCAGTGACAATATTTGTAATCTGAGTAGCTTCAATACTCTTCACATTGAACTCCTCAATCAGATACACAATCAAGTTTGTCAGCCATCCCCAACCAGCCAGCATCAATCCTGTCAGGGTTGCTTTCATCACAACAAAAAATACAATTTATTAGTACAACAAAGTCCTGCATGCCGCTGTGCAACACCAATTCCATGAGATAGAGGTAGAAAGAGACCTGCAATAAAGGGGAAGGTGATCCAGCCACCACGTTTGCCCCTGGAACGTGACATCCCGGCTTCTCGGTCCAGAGATGGTTGCAATTCCATGCTTGGCATTTTTGAGTTCTGGTTGAAGTTTTCTTGTTAACAATACTCATTATATAACACAGAAGTACTTAGTCTAATATTCCCTGGAGATATAAAATACAGTATTGAATACAAATTTTTAGGAAGGTGTTGACAATCACAGCCAACAATACAAAAGGCTTCCTTTCTTAACTTCATGAATATGAATTTAAACTCAGAAAGCAAAAGAAACAGAACTTTTCCTAATGTGATATGAATATGATGATGCCAAATTGCCAATGCCTGTGGACCTCAGGGAGGTGCAACCACCATCAGTAGTAGGTGTGTAGAAGACCAAATTTTTAGTTGGCATAATATTTGCAAATAATACCCTTTTGTTCAAACATAATTGGTAGAATAAAATCTGAAACATGTATCAAATTTGTTGGCTTTCTTTTCAAAGAAAATGGAGAGGAGACCGAGAGGAAGATGAAAAACAGAGCATAAACTGAGATGGAGAGAAGTATATCACTTCAACTCAAGTTTTCTCATTGCAATCTCTCCTATTTATAGGAGAATACAAACTCCATTCAAAATTTAAATCTAAACAACTATTTTACATTAAAAATAACAATAAAATACATTTGAAATTTGAAATATGTAACAGCCATTTCTGTCACATTGCTGCGTCCTTTGGCAGCTCTGCAGCATGCTTGGTCCCTTAGCAGCTCTACAGCATGCTTGGTAACTCTGCAGCCTCTCATTTCATTTGCATTTGCATTTAAGTTGCTGTTCATTGCAGCCTCATTTCATCAACATTTGCAGCTTAGCTTGCTGCACATTTTTGCTGTCATTTGACAGCTCATTTTCACCATATTTGCAGCTAAATTGCTGCACTTTGCTGCTACCGTCCTATTGGTGCAGCTCTCCCTTCATTTTGCCCCCATTTTGTGCAGCCTTTCATTTTCATTTGCTGCTACGTTTGCAGCTTGAACACCACAGCTCCAACAAAATTAACAGTAAGATAAGAAGACTATACTACCATTTCTACGTCTCATTTTCAGCGCAACCTACTATAATTTACATGGTAGGGCTGTTAAGATGTCAATAGGAAGTTTGAAAATCTTATGTAAAAAGACCAAGATTTTATCTAAAATAATAATAATCTAAAAAATATAAGCACAACTTGTCTTAAACAAAGCAGAACAAACACATGACAAAGTTGTTTACCGTTTTTGTTTTGGACCAATGCAGAAAATGTTAGTTGGGGTTGAATTGAAATGAGTAAGAAGGCAGGAATGGGAAGAGAA